CAGGCTGGCCTCAAACAAGATTCTCCTGCCTCCGTTTCCCAAGGGCTGATTATAGGCATGTCCCACTACACCCAGCTCAGGCTACTTTATTGATGGATTTTTTTTTTTTCTGGTTATGGGGCTTGAACTCGGCTTGGGCGCTGTCCCTCGGCTCTTCAGCTCAAGGCGAGCATTCTACCACTTGAGCCACAGCACCACTATCAGGTTTCTGGTGGTTTATTGGAGATAAGAGTGTCATGGACTTTCCTGCCTCGGCTGGCTTTGAACTGTGATCTTAGATCTCAGCCTTCTGATAGCTAGGATGACAGGTGTGAGCCACTGGTACCCAGCTGATGGATTTTTTTTTTTTAAATGATGGATGCTAGCTAGAAATGCAGTAACGGGCTGTGAAGGTGGCTCAGTGGTAGAGCGCTTGCCTTGCATGCATGAGGCCCTGGGTTCGATTCCTCAGCACCACATAAGCAAAAAGAAAAAAGCCAGAAGTGGTGTTGTGGCTCAAGTGATAGAGCGCTAGACTTGAGCTGAAGAGCTGAGGGACAGCGCCCAGGTCCAGAGTTCAGGCCCCACAACTGGACCCCCCCTCAAAGAAAAAAAAAGAAATGCAGTAACATTTTATTCATTGCTTTTGGGCCTCCAGCCCTTACTGAGATTTAATACCTTTAATAAATTAATCTCAGGAAGAAACTTTAGATTGCACCCTTGGAAGCTATTTCAAACTTTCTAGAAACATCGGCAAATGAGTTCTGCATCTTCCTTTCCAGGACTCAGCCTCCTGCTCATCTCCTTCTCTTTCTGTGCACATGGGTGCCCAGGCGGGGCGGGGGCCTGGCCCTGATGTCTCAGTGGAGCTCCAGGTCTGGGGGGAACCTGCGGTTGAGTGAAGTCTGATTTCTATTCTGCTGAACACTTTGAGTGGATGCTGGAGTTTTACCCCAAGCTGCTGCTGAGATGACTTCTGAGCGCCCAGATGGGTAAGCCAAGGCAGACGTGGTAATGACGAGAGTCCACAGGGTTTGGATGGCTGTAGTAGTAACCTGCTACATGAGGGGCAGCTCAGCCAGGGTGCGGTGAGAACTGCCAGATGTGATCGCTAGTATGTGGTCTTGAATGGTTACCTCCATCTATCCGAGCTGGGCCACGCTGCGATTTTCCTTCTCTGCTGAACCTGCTCGGGGTCTGAAACGGCACAAGTGGCGTGCCCCCTCCTGCCTTCTGCAGGCCGTGGCCGGCGGGGAGTTCCCTCTGGGGCGGGGTGGGGTGTGCATTATTCTGGTATTTTTTGCTACCTTGCTTCCTGGCTCACCAGCTAGATTTCCAGCTGTGCAGTTTTTGATGATCCTATTTTCTAGCTGTGGACTCATATTGAAGTTCCCACACAGCCTTGTCTCTGAGTGGCGCCCACACAGCTACCTCGGGGCCAGCTTGGGTGCTCTTTCCATGGCCCTCTGTGGCTGGAGGGCTTCCCTTGTGCTTGATTGCTCTGTCTGCTGGATGCTGTCCTCACAGTGATTTTCTCTCTTGTGCTGCAACACCAGGCATCTGAGCCTCTGTCAGCCTCGTGTCAAGGACAGAAACACGAGGAAGCCAAAGGGCGATCTAGAAACTCAGGGCGCAGCCCTGGCGGGACCCCGCCCAAAGTGAAGGGGTCCCTGGGGCCTGGCCCTTCAGAGCCCCATCCCAGTCGCCACTGCCGGCCATGTACGCCAGGCTGGAGAAACGGGGCGTGGACAGCCATCTCCCGCTGGCTGAGCAGTGACCAGTTATCCGCCCCATTTCCCTGTCACCCCGTTCTCGCCCGGCCCTGACCAAGAGCCTGCTCTCCTGAGCCTCTGCAGGCCCAAGTTCTTCTCGTTCCTTTCCCTCAGCATTCCACCAGCCGTCTGCCCCACAGAGCTGCCCGCGCGGTGCCCCTTGCCCTGTGCTCACCAGCAGCGGCTCTTCTAAGTGTAACCTCTGCTAGCTTGGAAGTCACACCGTGTCTAGCATTCACCAGGTGAGGCCAGAGCTGGGCCACAGTCCCGTGCCCTGCTCACTGCTCTCCTCGCAAGGCCCACACTAATGACTGCACCTTGTTTTGACTTGTGACAACTTTAGGAGACATCATTTCCTTGTGCGTGTGTGTGTGCGTGTGTGTTCATGTGTGTTCATACGCGACTCCCGCATCCCAGGCCTCTGCCTACATACAGCTGGCTGGTGCAGCATCCTCTAGTACAGGTGGGCAGCCCAGCCCGCCGAGCATGTGGCAGACATTTTTAGGTTGAAGAATGACAGAACAGCATGCCAATCACAATCCAGTGTCCCACAAAGCGGCTGCACCATGCCGCCCCCACTTCCCACCCCCCCGCCACCTCTGCCTCTGTGGGGTTCTGACACCAGAGCCCGGGGGTCGGACTTGACGCCCCCAGGCAGCGATAGACATGGAGGCTGTATCGGCCGCTGCTGCCTCCTGCAGTGCACACGGCCCACGCCCCTTCTCCGTGTGTTCTACACCTTGCGACTGGCAGGCTCACCGTGGTCGCTCCCTGGTTCTACACCTTGCGACTGGCAGGCTCACCGTGGTCGCTCCCTGGCCATGCAGAGGTCTTGTTGGGTGTGCCTGTTGGTGCCTGCTGCCTTTTCTGTCTGCAGTGGCAGGTGAAGCTCCAGCAGCAGTGCTTTCCTGAATTGTGGCTCACTTCCTAGAGGTTGTGGCCATCCTCCGTTCACGCGTGTCTTAGTTTCTTCTTGACTTCTTGTACCAACTGTGTTCATCTTGCCAAGGGTCAACTATAGTGTTGTCGGCTGGATGTACTTGACATTGCTTTCCTCTCGCTTATCTCTAAGCTTCTTGTAAGCACCTTTATTGTTCCATGCAGGCCACAAGCTTTGACATGTCAGTTTGTGAGGCACCAGTGGCTCATACCTATAAGCCTGGCAGCTTGAGAGGCTGACATTGGAAGGCTCGCATTTCCAGGCCAGCCCAGGCAGAACAGTCCCTGGGACTCCATCTAAAGGAAGAAATTGGGTGTGGTTATGTGGGCCTGTCAGCCTGGCTATAACCAGAGGTCCAGGCAAGCAGACCACAATGCAGGCACATATGCAGGCAGAAAGTGAGAGTCTACTAGAAAGTAAACAACCTAACCCAGGCACCAGTGGCTCACACCTGTAGTCTAGCTGCTCAGAAGGTTGGGACCTGAGGATATTGATTGGAGACTCTTCTCTCCAATTTATCAGCAAAAAGCTAGAAGAGGAGGTATGGCTCAAGTGGTCAAACATCAGCCATGTATGAAAAAGCTAAGAAAGCAAGAGTGGCGCTGGGAAGGTGGCTCAGTGGTAGAGTGCTTGCTAGCATGCATGAAGCCCTGGGTTGGATTCCTCAGTACCATATATACAGGAAAAGCCAGAAGTGGCACTGTGGTTCAAGTGGTAGAGTGCTAGCTTTGAGCAAAAGAAGCTCAGGGACAGTGCCAAGGCCCAGAGTTCAATCCCCAGGATTGGCAAAAAAAAAAAAGAAAGAAAAAGTGTGAGGCCAAGTTAAAGCATCATTACCAAAAGATGTATGTGTGTGGTATGTGTGCGCGCATGTGTATGTGTGTAGAAGGAAGCATGCACGCACACATACACACATCCTACAAAAGGGCTAGAGATGGCTTAGCAGCGAGGTGCACACCTCGCTAGGTAGCAAGCTTGCTAGGTAGCAAGCATCAGGCTAGTATCACTAAACTTAAAAATAAACCTTAAAAACACGCATACACCCACTTTTTTCCCCTTGGTAGGCCGTGGGGCTTGAACTCAGCCTGGGCACTGTCCCTGAGCTTTTCTTTTCTTTTCTTTTTTTGGGTCCGGTTGTGGGGCCTGAACTCTGGGCCTGGGCGCTGTCCCTCAGCTCTTCAGCTCAAGGCTAGCACTCTACCACTTGAGCCACAACGCCACTTCCAGCTTTTTTCTTTTTGCTTATGTGGTGCTGAGGAATCGAACCCAGGGCCTCAGGCATGCAAGGCAAGCGCTCTACCACTAAGCCACCTTCCCAGCCCTCCCTGAGCTTTTCTGTTCAAGGCTAGTCTCTACTTTGAGCACCTCTACTTCCGGCTTTCTGGTGGCTAATTGGAGATAGAAGTCTCACAGGCTGGCTTTGAACCGTGATCCTCAGATCTCAATCTCCTGAGTAAGCAGGTGTGAGCACCAGCACACAGCCACATCCACTCTTTATTTGTCCTATAGATTGTTTAAGAATGCATCACTAGCTGGGTGCCGGTGGCTCACGCCTGTAATCCTAGCTATTCAGGAGGCTGAGATCTGAGGATCTTGGTTCAAAGCCAGCCCTGGCATTAAAGTCCGTGAGACTATCTCCAATAAAACCACGAGAAAACCAGAAGTGGTGCTGTGGCTCAAGCAGTAGAGCACTTGCCTTGAGCTGAAGAGCTGAGGGACAGCGCCCAAGCCCAGAGTTCAGGCCCCACGACCAACCAAATAAAAATAAAAGTGCATCACTCCTTTTCCCACCTCCCCCAGCCCTCCCCACCTCTGCCGCCGGCCCCTCCTCTCACACCCACTCCCAGAGGTGGCCAGGCTCCCACCAGGGTGACAGTGGACTCATTATGCGGGGCACTTTGGAGAGCTGCCCAGTGCTGGCCTCTACCCCTCGCTGTGCCAGGAGGCTGGACCGGGTGGAAGGGAGCAGAGAGCTCTGGACAGCAGCTTTGAAAAAGCACCAGGCGCCATGCACTCAGTCAGTGAGCTCCTCTATTGGAGTCTCCCCACCCACTAACGAGACTGCCAGAAGAGGCGGCGGCAGCGGGCCAGACGCTGCCCGTCACCCGGCATTCAAACCACCTCCCACGCTGCTATTGCAACTGTTTTCCTTGCCTTTCAAAACACTGAAGCTGTGAAGGCGTGATCTTGGATAGGACTTCCCCCAGGACAGCCCTGCTGCAGGAGCCCCACCTGCGCAGAGGCCTGGGCAGCCCATCTCAGAACAGCTGCCTGTGTGGGGCTGTCTTCAAGGTGCAATGGCACTGAAGGACGTGGTCATAAATACAACTTTATTTCATTAAAAATGCATAATTACAGTGTATGGGAGCATCTCCCCTAGAAAAGTAGGTAAGTTTCCTTTCCTGCACAATCACTCCATCTCCGCTAACGCCTGCTTCCTGCCGCTGAACAGAGCACAGCAAAGGCTTCCGCATTTCCACTCGTTTGTTTTTTTTCCCCATTTTCTTTTTTGTTATAAACACCATAGCAAATTAAAAAAAAGCCATTAAACAAAATATTGTGGTTCTCGTTTCTCTGAGTGTACTCTACTCCGTGCTTCTCCTCCGGACATGGGCAGCACGACTCAGAGCCGGGGCCCTGGGGCGGCCAGGACCCTGCCCCCAGGAGGAGGCAGCTCCCAGACGTGTCGCAGACCTCGCACAGACGCCGGCTGGCTCAGAGCACGAGCACAGGGCGCGTGGGCCCAGGCAGCATGGTGCTGGTGGCTCGGCCACCTGTCTCACTGGATCTGGATTGCTCCGTGTTCAAGCTGCATTTCAGGCTGTAGGGTGGGCTGCAGGGCGTCGGCTGTCTGCAACAGGGAGATAAAGGAACTTTTCTAGAAAAATACCCGTCTGCACACATCCAGAACACTCACCTGCCATAAAGCCACCAGTGACCTCCACGCACACAGCAGACCCCGCCTTGGTATGAGACACCGGGACCTGCACTCGGCAGCGGTGCTGGACCTGATCAAAGCCCGGCCCATCTCCACCCATCCCCCAGGCAAACTGGGGCCACCCTGGCCACCTCTGCTGTCAACGTTCCATCCTCACCTTAAGGGTGTCCTGGAATAAATGGGGTCAAGTTAATATCGTGTTCCTAAGCTGACACGTTCACCTAGCATCTCAGATTTCATGTCACCCTCCTCCCAAAACTCACAGTGTTCCAAAAAGCATTTCATTGGGCAGCTACCATTCTTCCTTGAAGACCCAGTTGGAATCAATGACCTACGGACATTAGAAAGACTGCACATATATTCTCAGCCTTATTGCCGACTACGACTAGATCACTCTTCCTCCATCTTGGCCGTCACTGGTGTGGCCCCAGTGGAGAAATCATCCGGGGCTTTCGCGTGGCCCAGGAGTGGGATGGCAAGCTAGAGGCAGGGACTCTGCGGGGGGAGGCAGGAGGAGCCCCAGAGGCACCGCGGCAGAAGGCTGTGACAGCCCTCACGTGGCCTCAGGCCCTCAGCACCCCGCTTCTCTAAAAGACAGACCATTCTGGCTTTGGAGGAAGGATGTGGTACAGATATCATCTGCACCATGAGGCCCTGGGCACAGCCAAGCAAAATGAAAGGATGAACTTGTGTCAGAGCTGGCGGCTCCACGGTGGGTTCCAGTGTGGCCTGTGAGCCACGCAGGGGGATCGGCACCAGGCGCGGCCGGGATCCTTCCCCAGAATACCAGAGGCATTTCAAGGAGGAAGTCCACAGCGCCTGCTCCCCAGTGCCTGCCTGGGAAGCTCCAGGAGCACCAAGCCCTCGTGGCCTCACGGGCCCCTGGGAGGCACTGACCACACGGGCTGGGAGTGAAGCCCAGTCCTCGACACAGAAGGCCAGAGGCTGCTGCAGGAAGCCAGAGCTGTGCGCTCTCAGCCCCAGCGCCAAGCAGGCCAGGAAGACCCAGGGGAGAGCCTGGAAGCCAGGGCAGCGCCGCGGGCTGTGCAGCTGGGCCTTCGCCGTCTCCCCACCGGACAGAGGCAAGGTGCCTCGACTCCCAGGTCTCACGGGAGTCACAGCCCTGCTGCAGGAGGCTGGCCCGGTGCCCTCTCTGCACAGGAAGGGCTGCACTCCCGGAAACCAGGGCCCACGGCCAGGAGCAACTCCAAATTGGAGGCCTGGGCAGAGCTTTTTGTCTCCAGGTTTACAAATAAACATTTCTATGAGACAGAAAGCTCACAGACAGGCTGGAAATCTGGGTCTGGCCCAAATAACTTCTGCCCTTCCTGTGCAGAGTCCACAGAATCCCTCTCACCCCGTCCTGCCCGGCTGTGTCTGCCCCACAGCCTCTCGGTGGTGGCCTTCCTGCCTGGAGGCCGAGCCCCACGCTCGGTGTGCGGACGGGAGCGCGGGCGTCCTCCTGGAGGCCCGAGGACTCACCTGTGCAGCAGCTGTGTGGTCGCTCACGGGCGCCAGCTGGACGTACTGCACCTGGATGTCACTTCCCTGGAGAGAGGAGCCGTCCACACCTGCTGCGGTCGGGTCGGAAGAGGCCACGGCTATCAGCTGAGCGCCCTGCAGCACCTGGGGACAGAGCAGGCTGGTCAGCACTGCCCCAGGGCCGCCTGGTGGCCAACACGCCCTGTCGGGACCCACAGCAGCAAGGCCTTGGGTTCTGGCTCTTATGGCACACTGCCAAGGGACAGGTGGTTTGGTGACAGCCAACAAGAGTGTACAAGTGCATTCTGCTATGTCCCCCAGGAACCCCTCACACTGCCAGCACACAGAGATGTTGCTTTCCAGAGGCAGAAAGGACCCTGCGAGAGGACAGAGGCAAGTCCTGGCTCCAACACACAGGTGAATTCAAACAAGCAGAGACACGGGTGTGTGCAAAGCGCATGTGAGGGAGCGTTCTGTTGGTAAAGGCCCAGGAGGGAAAACACTCAACACCATGACGGCCCTCAGATCCCGCACCCCAGGGAAGACGGGTCAGTCTAAACCTTCTTCATACGCTTGCGTGACAAACACCTTTCACATTTGCAAACAGGCTTCCTCGACTTCCATCTCAGTGAGTTCATGGACCAATCACCATTCGCAGACAAAAGCAGGCACTGTCGCAGGCAAGTGACAGCAGCAGAAAACATGCTACACTGCCTGGTGCTGGTACTCACCCCTGTAATTCTAGCTACTCAGGAGGGTGAGATCTTTCAAAGCCAGCCTGGGCAGGTAAGTCCATAAGACTCTTACTTGCAATTTATAAAACTATCCCCCAAAAAAACAGAAATGAAGCTCTGGCTCATGTAGTAAGTAGAGCATTATTAGCCTTGAACAAAAGAAACTCAAGGACAGTGCCCAAGCCCTGAGTTCAAGCCCTAGGACTGACACCAAAAACAAAGCAAGAAGAAGCTACACCTATACTGGGGCAGCCTGGAGCCATGTGCCCAGCACTGTTGGCAAAGCTGCAGACTTTCTGCAGGGCAGGGAGCTGCGGCAGGGGTCAGCCAGGAAGACGGTGGCACGCACGCCCTCCCGCTGGCTAAGGCCAGTGGTGTGGGCACGGATGGAGTCGGAAGTGTGCCATCACACACATGCAGAGAAAATCCCCCCCCCCCGGCAGCTCCCAGGGGGTGCCAGGACCAAAGCCAAGGATAATGGCTGGCAGCCTCAGGATTAGACAAGGACCTTCGTATCACAGAGACACTACAGCTCTTCACTCAGGCTGAACCTGAGCAGGAAATGAGAACAGGACAGGCTTATGTGGGCTGGCCAGCTAGGGGCCTCAGGGCGTCTGACCAATAGCACCAGGAACACAGGGATGGGAACTTGACATGGTTGTCATTCTGTTTGTTACTGTTAGTTCTACGGCTGCTGGTGAGGCTAAGTTACTTGCCCAAGATCACAGAGCCAACAAAAATAAATGACACAGAAGTGGCCTTAAAGGCGCTTTGCCCCCGCCTGCCAGCAGCTGTCCCTGCCTCGGCCTGCTGCCCCCAGTGGCCAAAGCCCTGCTCACCTGTGACAGACTTGCTAGAAAACAGCAAACCCATCACCAAGAAACCTCAAGAACCTCATCTGAGGTTAGAACAAGGCAAGTTACTTACACTGGCTTCCTTCTGCTTCAGCTTTTGTTATGGATAGAAAACAGCTTCCAGGCTAAGACTGGCTTTCTTTTTGCTGGCTTCTGCTGGCTGAATGCATACTGATTCGCATGCGTGTGCCCCAATGCTGGGGGCAGAGCAGGCGCCCACGGAGCACCCCAAAAAGAGGCACTCTCGGAAACTCACCAGTGGGTAGCGTGGCTGAGACGCAGGCGTCCCCAGGCCAGCGCGGGCCCACACAGGGCCCCTACAGGTAAGGTGCCCCCTGCTTGGCCAGTGCAGGGCCTGGCCACATCACCGGAACCCAAAGGTCTCCAGGCTAAACCACATGTGCCGTCAGGGCAGGTCTCAGGTGTGACTTTTCAGCATGTTCAGTCGCTCCATTTTCCCCTTCGGGACTGCCCATGCAGGCGGTGTGAGAAACAACGTCCCCCTGGTTACAGCAGCTCCGCCTCGGGCTGACAGACCCAGCTCCGCGGCGACACCCAGGGGTCAGGTGGATGGAGTATGTTTCACTACAGCGCGGGCTGATGCCTCAGGAACTAAGTCTGACTCCCGGCAAGCGGGAGGGACGCTGGAGGGCCGGGGGGCGGGGACACAGCAGTCACCGCACTGTGCTGCTGCCCGCTGGGGCAAAGGACGCAGGAGTGAGCATGCGTAGACACAGGCTCCAGCCCCAAACAGCTTTGAAAATGGAAGCATGTCCCCAAGTGTCTCCAATTACCTCAATGCTAACCTTGAATCACCGCTCTCCTGTCTACTCACACAAGTGCCCCCAGGGACTGCACTGCACTGGGTACTGGTACAACAGTGTTTGCCTCTAACACGGTCTTACTTCATCTTTGAAAGTTATATTTAAAGATGATTTTCAATGGACCAAACATGGACCCTCCAATCCTAGGGACCACTGTCCCTGCCTTGGGTATCTGCATCACAAGAGAGGGGGCCCGGGCCACAAGACAGGGGCCAGCGGTCAGTGAGGCCGGACCTCCAGCGGGGTCTCGGGTTGTTCTAAAGCTGCTGCAGCCTCAGCTAACAGTAAACGCCTTCCAACTAAGCAATCATTTCATCCAAGTTCTTGCTTAAAAAAAAATAATATCCTCCGTAGCCAAAACCCATGTGCAGCTTTTCCTGGGCCCCTGCCTGACTTGAAAATTTCTTCTGTGTTAGAACCTGTAGAAGATGGTACCAAGAAAGTCAACAGGGACAGAAATGAGAGTCCTGCAAATGCACATACCACCCTGACCAGGCATCACCACTCAAGCCTGAAGTGAACTTCTTCCTGCTCAAACAGCCAAGGAGCAGCCAAATAGCACGCCCTGGCAGATGGCACCAGCCCTGTGTCACACAGCCTCTGGCAGAGGAAGCCCCAGGCCTTCCTTTGCCTGTTAGGGGCTTCTAGGCCCCTCAGACAGGCGCAAGAACAGAGACAGCTGTCCAGGACCATCACCCGATCTCATTCAGCGAGGGGAAGGGTTATACAGCTGGGTTTGTGCTTTTTAAGGATAATTTCTGGAACTACCCTAGCCAGGGCTTGCCACACTTGGCTGTGCCAGAAGGAAGCACAAGCTGTCAAGAGTGTGCCCAGGCCGCTGAGGAATAGGCCCTAAGGGACGGGAAGCCCTAGTCCTCCCTCCTCACAGATGGGCCCAGACGCAAGGTGGGAGAGAACTCTGCTCCGTTCCCAGAGGCAAACAGCAAACCCACAACCATGCCGTGAGGCCCCTGAGCCAGGTAGGCCACACAGGGAACCAAGGACCTGGCACGCCAGCCCAGCCCAGCCCAGCCTTGCATAGGGCAGCCACCCGGTCCCCACACACCCCCAGCTTAGAGCAGACATGGAGCAGAACCTCTCTGCCTGCAGCCTAATAAATCAGCGCCATCAACAGCACCTCCCAAGTTCTTTCCAAGAGACCCGCCCCACTAGGTTGGCCTTCCAGGTCTGAGCAGCAAAGCGGGCGTGGCGCTCTTCCTCCTACCTCTGCGGGAACCTGCTCGGGGACCAGGGTGCCCAGCTGGTCACAGCCCACAGCGAGGAAGCCCAGGGCTGGGAGCAGATGGCACCAACCTCACTCGACCCACAGCTCCGTGCCTGCTGTGCAGAGCCACGCTGACCGTGTCCTGCGGAGGCCTCGGTGAAGTCTGCTCCCCAGGCTCCACCTCCCACCCACATCTGCAATCAAAGAGCAATGCATCTACGGGCTCACAAAGGCAATGGCATAAACATCATCAAGTGCTGTTGTAATTCCAGGAAGCATTCTTTAACTCAACCTCTTCCTGTAAATCTGGAACAAGTGTGTGTCATCAGACTTCAGTAAACCAAACATCAACACTCACACCAGGACCAAGAAAATGGGAGCAAAATCAGGCTGGAAAGAGCCTGAGAGTCAAGAGCACCATCCTCTTGAGGGCGGGGGGAGGGCGAGGTGATGGGGACACCCCCAGCACAGGTCTGGGCCGTCAACGCTGAGGGAAGAAGGGTTTTTTAAAACCATTCTGTTTTCCAATTATCTTCTCAGTTTGGAAAGCAAAGCTATGATTATGAGCAGGGTAGGTTTAAAAACAGGCCAAGTGATAAAACTAGAATGTCTACAAACAGAAAACAAGAGAGGACTACCTAACAGATTTACCAGAAAAAGGCAGCTTCTTGCAAATGCATACTGTTCACTTCAGTCAGAAGGCAGAGCTCCCTTGAAGCAGCAGGTGCCCGGCCTGAAGTCCTGAGAGACGGGGCTGGCTGGTGTGTGCGAGGTCACACAGCAAGGATGGGAATCGGTGGTGGAAGAAAGTGATATTTGCGGGTAAAAGTGATCAGGTGGTAGATTGATTTGACATTTTGCAACGAGGAGGATCATAAATTAGTGGTTAATCATGGCCACCAGCTCCAGAGGCAGTGACATCAGCAAAGACCTGCTTTGCTCTTCTGCGAGTCTGCAGCCACAGCCGTGGCTCCCGGGTTGCCAGCCTAGTGGGTGGTGCTGGGGTCTCCAACCTCAGGCCAACTTTATGAGAAAAGGATCAGACACAGGGTGCATGAGCTTCACACTAATGCAGCGTACAGGCCCCACTGGATTTTTTAAAATTCTAAGCAGAAGTTCGTTCAGGATATACAGAAAGAAAGTGACTCTCAGCGGTAAGGAGTCTTGCTTTCCGTGTGCATTGAAGTCTAGGCTCATCCTAACTATGATGAAATTCCACCACCAGTATAAATAGGAACCATCAAACCATCAAACACAGAGAAGCCACCAAGAACAGAGCCAATCCGCTGTAAATACTTCCCGCTCACCTTGTCACCAACAGCACACACTTGGCAGAAACAACTTCCTCTTTAGTTCTGTGTCTCTCTGGCTCTTTCCAAAGCAACTATCTTGTATTTACACACTAACAGGGCTGCATCCCACCTGACCTCCACATGTGCCCTACAATCTGTGAAATTCCCCTTCAACGCCTCCCGAGAGGGTCTGTCTGTCCCTTCACCCCGAACCCTGTGATTTTCTTGTCCCGTGGTGTCCTGGGTGTTCTCAGAGGCAGCAGCTGCTGGGCCTTGGCTGGCAGCACACATGGGGACACACACAGGACTTGCAAAGGAGAATGCAGCAGGAAAAAGCACCATTTCTTGGGTGGCAATGACAAGTGATGAGAGGGCTCTGGGTGTGTGATCCTTACGCCGATTTCCTAAAGTACTTCCTACAAAACTGGAAAACTTCCAGACTCTCTTCACAGACCCAGATGAAAACAGTTTCTCCAAGAGAAACTGTCCTCAAAAGACCAACACGGCACGATGCTCACAGATACTAGCACGCTCCCTCCTCCCGGAGAGCAATCCCTTCTGGGTGCTCACAGGTTGGGGACCTCACTGGGCTCAGAATTCCAATCAGGCTCAATGAAATGCTGCTCATCTCTTCTCAGGTTAGGAAAACTAAAGGGGTTTGTGTTTGACAAGAAGCAGAAACAAAGCCCACCTAATCCTACGCACAGCTACCTATGAGCCCTACCCGCAACATCACGCAAGTGTACAGAAGGTAATGACAGGCATGGAGAGGTAAAAACTGCCCTGAGATCCCACAGCTGTAAACGGGACTCCAGAGCCCAGCAGGCACCTGTGTGCCCACAGCAAAGCCAGTGCCTTCCCCCGCTGGCTGGAGGGAAGGGGGCCACTGGGCAGGGGTGCAGTGAGGGTAGCTAGCACTTACCTGCCCGTCCTGACCAACATGATGAATCTGGAGGTTGCCCTGCAGAATGAATAGGAAGATGATCAAGGGGAGCTCCATGACATGTTTAGGCAGGGTGAAAACTTCCCCATGCCTTTCAGGAATAGCTAAGAAACCACTAATTCTATAAAATCTAAGCCTTGTAGCCATAAACCCACCAACTAAAGCATCTTACGCTGAGTTTGTAGACATTTTTTTCTTGTATTAAAAACACACACATACCTACAACGTGAATCCATTTCATCTACTCTGACCCCAATGAGAGTATTTTTTTAACTTTTTATGAAACAATTTTAGATTAGTGAGAAGACAACACACACACCAAAGCCCTGGCAAGGATGCCCAGAGGGACCCCTCTGCAGAGGCACGGCAGGAGTGCACGGCAGGAGTGCACGCGCGCGCGCACACACACACACACAGGAGTGCACACACACGCACACACACACACGAGTGCACGCACACACACACACACACAGGAGTGCACACACACACACACAGAGTGCACGCACGCACACACACACACACACACACACACACACACACACACACACACACACACACACACACGTCGTGAAGAGCCGACCCCGGCATACAGGGAGGCAACAAGGAGAGCTGCTCCCGCTGTTGCACAAGACAGCTGTTCTTCCTGCGTGTGGTACACGCTGCTGAATGTTGTGCTGAAACACGAGGAAGGCATCCCCTAAAGCAGCAGGAAGCCAGAAGGAGGGATGCTGGAGAAAGCTCAGGGCCCAGCCCCACAAGCCCACTCCAACTGTGGCCGCCTTGCCCTGGGTGTGGGGTCCTGGCCCACGCCGCACCGCCTCCCATCCCCAGCTCACCTCGCTGTCCTGCGTAATCTGCACCTGCTCCCCTTGAGGCACCTGGGCAATGTGGAGGTGGCCCTGTGGGATCCGCGACAAGAGAAGACACCAAGAAGCATCAGAAGAAAACACACCAGAGGAACCAGATGCACTTCCCGCACACTCCCCAGGAAGGGTGCTGCCAGGGCGCACGGAGCTGCACTCTGTGCCCCCCTCACATGGCCCCACAGAGCCCCTCCTCACATGACCCCCACAGAACCCCTCGTTACATGACCCCACAGAGCCCCCTCCTCACGTGGCCCCAGAGTCTGCCCCCGTGCCCGTCACATGGCCCCACAGAGCCCCTCCTCGCGTGGCTTCCCACGTGTTGCCAAGTGGCATGCTGGTGGGACAGTTAAAAGGGGAGGGGCGTCAAGTGTGTACTACACCAAAGCTGTTTTTTTAAATCAAGGAAACACATGACTACTTACACAATTTAAACACTAATAAATCAAAGAATCCAGCTAAAACACACATTTGTTTATGGATGTAGGCAAATAACTCCTATAAATCTTAAGTTGGCTAAATGAAATAATACTCCTCTTATTTCAAGTTCTCTCTTGGTCACAATGGATCTGAGAACAAACTGCCTTTGTTGAACGTGGCTGCGTGTGTGTGCTGACCACACAAATTCAGCAGCCTGGTAAATCCACTGCTGGCAGGTGCGTCACCTCAAGCTCTATCTTAGATGTGTCCACCCTGTGAGAGCAGTATTTCTTTCTTGCAATATAGGACCTGGCCCCATGAAATAGCCCTGGGTGTGCGTATGATAGTGACTAATGTCTTCAAAGACGCCAGTGGACGGGTGTGATAAAAACTGCCACAAAATTTCAGGGTATCCTTAAAACTCCTCATTCCCCCCACAGCTTCTAGAAATCTTCCTTCTCTGCCACCAAAGCCCAGAGTATGTAAGGGGACATGACTGCTCCCAGCTGGACTGACTGCAATATTGGCCATAGGACAGACACTCCAGCATAAAGGAACTCTGAGGCGGGACTGGTCACTCAGGGCCTGGACATTACACAAGCCCAGGGAAAGCTGAAGGAGAAACTAAGGCTGCTCATGCTTTCCCACTCCTGGAAAGAAACGGCTTCTTCTTTCCTCAGTGAAAGGACACCTGAGTTATGAACTGTCTCAGGACAGACGGAAGGGCCCCTCATGCGGCCTGTGCACCTGTGACGCACACAGAAGGGTGGGGGACCAGGGACCCGTAGGAGCGCTCACACAGGCTGTGCGCACGTAACACGCCACAGAAGGGTGGGGGACCAGGGACTGGTGAGGTCCTGTAAAGGGTTTCAATGCAAGGTCATGAGGCAACTGGTGTGTGTCTATGAAACGTAAGGACTCATGCCCAGCCCCCGATGCCACCCCCTCCATGTCCCTGGCACATCAGCAAGAAGGTACATACTACTTGGACTTGTCCGTCCTCTCCGATCTGGTGGATCTGCACCTGCTGTGCATTGGCCAGGGCGTAGTGCAGGGCCTGCGGCTGTGGTTGCTGGAGCTCGGTGGCAGGTGGCGGGGTGCCCATCATGGTCTCTGTGGGAACATGGGAGGCAGAAGTTCCGACTCAGGCGCGGCCCAGGCAGAGCAACGCCAGGCCACCTCATCTCTCTCATCCTTGCCCTGCACTCCCACGCTGACTTGGGTCAGCTGACCTACACTTTCCTGTAGGGCTGGTTAGCGCAAGCTCTGGGCAAGTGAGATTTCTGAGAGCCTGCCAGGTACAGGACTCAGCAACACTGTTCCAACAAACCTCTCCCATGCACACGAGACCTCAGCAGGCATTTGTGGAAAGGAACAATAGGTGATGTTAGGATTAGACCCTCTTTAAGGCCAGCAGGACATAGTGTCTCACCAAGGAAAACCTAACTAGGAAACAGCCCCGTCCACTCAAAACATACATCCAACAAATTTTGCTTTCTATGTTTAATCAAAATGAGATACATTTGTTTTGATGTTAATTTTAACTATAATGATATTTAAAATTGTTCTTAAATACGTAGAACATTACAGGCTCAGAAGTACTTAAAAATTAATGCATATACATACTTTTGTACGGAATTATGATCACTAGTCAATAAAAAATTATTAGGAATAAATGATTGCAGTAGGATAAAACTGAGAAAAGCAGAATGTTAATGTGAATGGAAGGAGAAATATGTAAGATGCAAAAATTAAAAAAAATTACTTAAGAAGGCTTTTTACGTATTTTAATCACTAACTGTGGTGTCAGGCTGCCGTGACATACAGGCTCCCTGAGTATGTTTGACAGCAGTCGCATCCTGAGGAATCGCAGGCAAGGGTCTCCAGAACCAGCCCTCTGTACTTTAAGCCCCAACCACAGCATATATGCTCTCCAGGGAGCTCACAGTGCTGTGCACGGATGCGTGGGTGTTCGTGTGCGTGAGCGTGAGCATGTGCACGCAGGTATCCAGGTGCTTAAACTCAGGTCCTAGAAGCTCTGCTCAAGGCTAGCACTTAAAGCACAGCTCTACTGGCTTTTTCGGTGGTTAACTGGAGGTAAGAGTCTCACAGACTTTCCTGCCTGGCTGGCTTCAAACAGAGATCCTTAAACCTCAGCCTCCGGAGTATTACGGTCATGAGTCACTAGCGCCACCAATTTACAGTGCTTGTTGTAAAACCCAGCTGCCTCCAACTCAAGGACAAGAAAAAGTTTACAGTGCTGGCAACTACCGAATACAATACAGATGCTACAGTAAACTAACTTTCAAGAATCCTCTTGAAACTAGTGATTTTGTGGTTTGTGTTCAATTGGATGGTAACTAATCCATCTTTAAATAGACTGCCTCTCAGGGTAGAGCGGGACGTCCTTGTAATCCCAGCCCTGAAAAGACAATGGCAGGAGGGTCAAAAGTTCAAGGTCAATCTGGGCCAAATAGACACTGTCAGTCAATAAGTAAATAAACTTGCCTAGATACTAAACCTTAAGAGTACCGATGAGGAAGTTCCCAGTTTGTTGATAATTCAAAAGTAAACATAAGAACCCAGCAGGAATCACAACTAATTCCAAATTAACATAATTCTGGCTTAATTACATGTTCCTGGGTTACTTCTGTCAGCAAACTAGTCTCAAATGCCAGAACAGCGTTAATGAGCCAAGAGCAGATGCACAAAGGACAATGACAAAAATCCCTCGAGTCCCTAACTAACCACCTGCTTTGCTCCAGCTAATTTTAGCCAAGAACACTGTGTATTAAGACAGAGTTTACAAAGCCGAGTCCTTGGAGAGAATGTGTGGGGGCTGGAGAGAATATGGCGGGCTGGCAGCCCATCACAGGCTGGACCCACTGCAGGGCAGGGACAGGATCATAGCTCAGAAATGGGGCTCATGCTTTCCAGACAAATAAACGCCTCGGAGTGCCTAACCGTGCTCACCTTCAACTCCTGTCCAAACATGTGGTGCACAGAAGCTGGCGGTGGCGGCCGCTCAGACCCTGCCACCAAGGCACAGCAGGGCACACTTCTGAGAAATGTCCATCAGTCAAGCCACCGAGGTGATGCTGTACCTGTCCTGCATCAAAGCCACCCTGCCAACCAGCCACGGGGGCTCCTCAGACAGCGCACGCCCAGGGCCTGCCCGGGACTGGGCCACTGGAGGCGTGTCACACAGCCACAAGGGGCTGATTGAGACTCCCAAGCAGCTAGCAACACAGGAGCCACCGTATCTCAGAGAAAGCACTGACACATTTATAAAAACCGAGAAACAAAGTGTGCAACCACTGTCAGAGTCACTCACTTAAAGAAGATGCTAGTAAGTGGAAGAGAAGCAAACACTAGTAAGTGTAAAACTGAACCAGACCATGCGCTGTGTGAACAGGCCCAGCAACCTGAGCTGGAGGAATAGCGCGTGTGATTCCACAGACGTGCAGGTCACCTAGGCCACGACCCTGCATGTCTAGAGCCCTCTAGGAGGGCTGAGCCAGCAGTACAGGCGCCGCCCGGTGTACCAGGCCACTGGCTCCCCAGTACTAGAACTGGAATCTGAACCGAGCATGGTCTGCAGTGGCTCGGCCTCCCGCTGCACAGCTCCACGCTGACCACCCGCTGACCGCTGTCAGGGCCGATGCCCTGGGCCCCAGAGCAACCCGACCGTGGGCCTGCGCTGGAGCCCCGTGCGGCTTGCCAGGTCACCTCACGTGGCGCGCAGGTCCACGTGGCGCTCATCCTCACCTCGCCTCCTTCACGGCCTCCAGCTCGGCAAGGGCCAAGCTGCCTCACCTCCTAAGACAGCTGTGCTCTGCCAGGAGCCCCTCACTCCGTGTCCTAATCTGTGCCTCCAGAGGAGTCCCAAGTAACTGCAGCCCCTGCTTCGTCTCTAAGGGATGCCTGGGCCCCAACAGCTGCATAGCCAGTTCCTAAGGCAGCTGTGTTATGACAGAGAGTTCCTCCTGAACTGGAAACAGAAATTGAAAACTATCAAACAGGAGTGGGGGTGGGGGAGTAGAGCAATATGAGGCCTTAAGTTCAAGTCCCAATACCAACGGAAAAAATAACTATAATACTAGTGCAGTGTTTTGAAATAATGTGAAAGCCACAGTAACGCTTGGGGATAAAGAAAAATATATACATATAACTACTACTTAGAGAGCCACCATTAAGATGTTCACACTTGAACTTTCAACCACCTTCCACACACGGCCACGTAACTGTCGTGGAAACAGGGGTTGGCCCGGGAGTCAGCTGCCCAGCCGACAGCGCTCAGCACACATCCCAAGTCCCAGGTCACGTCGCCACGACAAGGCTCCCTCCCTGCACGCCAGCCCCAAAGCAGCACCCCAGGAGCACAACCTGTGTGGGCCTTGCCTCGGGGGACCTCGACTAGAGCTCAGCCGCGTATCCGATGACTACCAAAACACCGGGAGGAAAACTTGCTCCTCAAGAAATTGGAGGGAGCTCCAGGTGATCTGATTTGTAGCTTCCAGAACAAAGTCCGTGGACAAAGACTGCACTGAGAAGAGAGCATGCCCAGCCCACGCTGCCCCGGGGCCTGAGCCGACCCCACGCCAGGCTCAAGTTCCAGGAGCTGCTGCCAAGGAGCTCCTGTGGGAGTTTAAAGACTATTTTAATCCACATTTTTTGTAAATGCCTTCAACAGCGATGCGTCAGAGGCAGTGTGCAGTCACCTGTCAATCCTAGTGAGTTCTCCAGGAGAACAGCACCTCTAGGCCAGGCCTGCAGAGTCTGCCCCGCTAACCTCAGATTGCGAGTCCATGAACTCAGAACACAGAGCACAGCGACTGGTGCTCCCCCAGCCTGCAGTCACTGCCAAAAATATTGGTACCATTATCGTGGCTGTTAAGCCAGCAGGGCACTCAGGCGCAAAATAACTAGGCAGAGGAAGGAAGGCCCTGTACGAACTCGGCACCCACTGGACTCAGAATGCAAGGCCCGGTCCCCTGCCCCTATCTACTGCACCCCCAGGGAGTCGGGGACAAGTGCACACTCAGGCAGCCGCTCACCCCAGAGCCCACCTGTGGCGCTGTATGAGGATGAGGAAGAGGATGGCGTTCTGCGTGAGAAGCTCTTGACTGCCAGGCTCTGGCCTCGCTGTTTCCGACGCCATGCTGTCCGGCATTTGGAGTCGATGCTCTGTTTGATCCGATACCAGTCAGACTCTGTGATTCCAAATTTATAGAAAAGGTGACCTGGAGGAACATATTCCAGATAAATGCTGTGAGCACAGGGCGTCTTCCTAGGCCTGGGCCTGGGCCGGCCGGGGGTAACCTAGACACAAATAACGCGCTCTCGTTCTACCCATGGCCTGTCTAGCTGTCACACAACTTCATCAACAGCAAAATAAATGGAAGAAATTCAAAATGTAATAATCAGAAGACTAAGCTGAAAAACTTCCTGTTTTGACTAGCAAGAACACTGAGTTTGGACCAGCTACTGGGGGTTAAGTTACCGCTTAAGCCCTACATATTTTTTCCTACTGAGACTCAAGTACTAGTAATAATCCAAGTAAAGAAGAGCTTATTTTTTTAAGTGCTATATTAAGTATCACGAGTTTCTTTTGTTTTAGAAAGCCACTTCTTGACTTTTTCTGCGCATCTGCTTAGGACACATTTGGCCAACCAGGATGATAATGTGATCTAAGGGAACGGAGCGCAGTGGAGAGAGGCTGAGGGCAGCTCGGGAGAGAGAGGTGCTCTGCAGTAGCAGCAGCAGCATCCATCCACCCTAGGACATAAATGAAGCAGCAGCTCTGGACTCAGACTTCCAGGTCACTGCTAAACAATCACAGTCATCGCTCGGTACTGTACGTGTGCTGCGGATGCCATTGGGTGTCACGAGTTCCAGGGCCGTCAGCAGTGTTTGTGACAGAACGGTCAGATTGCCGGCCTTGGAGCACAGACAGAGCCCAGCATTGAGCTCTACCTTATATTTTGATGCATGTTTTTTGTTTTTGTTTTTTTTTTAAAAAAAAACCTCATGGAATAAGAACGTCACTACCTTCACATTTATTTTCAGGCAAAAGCCAGAGAAATGAGACATCATCTGTCTAAGTCAAATTATGGGTCAGGCGTAAGAACCAGCCCAACAATTCCCACCTTCTATTGACCACCCAGGCCAGGAGACCAGACAAGAAAAGACACATTGCTTCCTCTGCAGACCTCTGCTCACAGGGCTGCCCAGCTTGACCCTGCAATGGGTACCTGCAGTCCTCAAGGCACAAAGACCAGACACCACCAGCTACTCTTCCTTGAACACCTAAGGAACTCAGCGCTAGCTCAGGCCTGCTGCAGCCCTGACTCTTGGCCAAGCGCTCCACAGGGAGCTCACTTGCTCTCTGGGCTGGGGGAAGCTGCCCTGCTTCCTCTCCGTCCCGGGCAGGCTGCAGGGCAGTGCCTGCTAGTGGAGGGTGTCCAACAGGACAGCTGCCTGCCTTCCCTCTTCCAGAACTCCACCACTGACCCTGAGGCCTCCAACCATGCAAGGGTTCCCAAGCTTGCTCAGAGCCCCGAGGGCCGCTGTGGGAAGGGGACAGATAAAAGGGAATAGAATGTCTAGTCTCACAGCCTCAGTGGGTGGCATATTTATCAGTCACAAAGGAATGGAGACACTATCACTCCCAATGTAATCTCAAGTTTAAGGAGAAAGTAAAGCTGGAAACTAAGTGCCAACAACTTCTTTCTTGAAATTACAGACTTAATGATAGTGGCTGGCTCAGAGGAACAACAGGAATCCAAACCCCTCTGATGGGAAAATGAGCCAATGTGCTCTCTCGGCTGGTGCTCCAGAGGCCGACATCAAAGCCGTCCTGTTCCCTGTCCTGTTCTCCCCACTCCTGCAGCTGCTCTCTGCCACCTCCAAGGCTGCGTCTAGATCCCTGTCCAGGTCCCTGCTCAGGAGAACCAAACCCTCCCCCAGCTCTCTGGTCAAAGCCGGGACCATGACAGATAAGTGCCAGCCGCTCAGCACGGCCATTTGACTGCAGAGGGCTGAGATGAGAGCTGACAGCTGACTACGCAAGTTCAGAACAAGCCGCGTCCTGTGCTCGGGGTTGAACAGCCACCCTCAAAAACCATGTCCTTCCCAGGGCCTCAGAAGGCGACCTCACTGCAAAGCAAGGTCTTTGCAGATGTGATTAATTAAGTTTAGATGAGGTCATACTAGCAGGCTCTCCCTCCAGTGACCAGTGTCCTTATAAGGAGGAGAACGAGACAGTGATTTCCAAGGAGAAGATGGCCATGTGATGATGGGGACAGGAAATGCCAAGAACCCCCCGTCCTCACAGAGCCCCTCAGGGCCTTCACACCCGGAACTCCTGTTAGTTGTACAAATTAATCAACTGTTCTCCCAAATGCCTAGAGACCTCAGATAAAACCTCTACTACATCAAGGAAGCCAAGTACAGGGAACCAGAAGGACCCACAGCCCCAGGTGAGCAGTCCTGAGAGCCTGTGCCTGCCCACAAGGTGATGCCTCCAGCAAGAGCAGCCACCTGGCTGCAAAGTCTGGTGTGCACAGCCAGTGGAGGGCCGGTAGAACAGCGTGTGTGCACCAGAGCCCAGAGACATCTCCTAGCCGGCCCACCAGCCTGCTCCAGAGCTCGGCCTCTGTGTAACTGCAGGGCACACACAGTAGCCAGCCACTGAAGGCCCAAGGGCAATGCTCTCTAGATGGAGGTGCAGGATTTCTTCCTACTCTCAGTATTCCTACTTCCTACTGTAAAGTCCCATCCCCTGTGCAATGACAGAGAAGCTATAGGCGCAGCCCCTGTCCCCACTGCCACCTTTCCACGGCCCCTGCCAGGACTGCAGCCCAGGAATCCACTTAGAGCCATGGTTTAGTCTCAGCAGGTGTCTCTCTCTAACGCCTCACCCACCTCCTCTCTACACTGGCACAGACGACAGCCATGTGGACAACACTTCTCCCAGCTCTCTGTAACTGGGTTTTAGGTGTCCATATGATCCGTCCTCCTTCCTTGGGGCTCAGTATGTCATAAACCTAAGTGTGCCGAGTCAGGGGTCCTTCCACTCCCTTGCACCGGCGCCCCTCCGCCTGGAAAGCAAGGAGGAAGTCGGCCGCTGGCTGGGAGCAGCTGCAAGCAAGGTGCTCAGCTCACACACCACATGCACAGCAAGGCCGCCTCTCACGGAGCAGCCACGAGAAGAGCCGGGGACGACCACAGGTTCCCAGTAAGATCTCAGGCCTCCCGTTGAGCCTCCTGCGACTCCTGAGTTTGTATGGCGTACTAGTCATTGCTACATAGAAAACAAATGACCTGCCATAGGCAGTGAACAGGAGAACTACCAAGTTTCTGCTTAGCCAAGCCTTGCTCGTGCCTCAAGAATCCCCGTACTTCATCCTCTCCTGTGTCCACAGGAGTGCAGTTAGTGCAGCCCTGGCCTGCACTAGCGGTGTCCAGTCCCTCCACCTGGCCCTGTTACCAGCCTGCCATTTCTAGAAGGGCAGTCCTGCCCTCGCCTCACCCACAGGGTGCTGTGGGGAAGCCTCACTGGGCAACTGGCCTGGGGTCTGAGTTCAGTGTGGGTGCAGATATAGCAGGACCGCACCACTGAAGAGCACACACTTCAAGGGACTTGCTCTAACAGACCATCTCTCTGGAAGACGGTGCTCTGGGACATCCCAGAGGCTGGGGAGGCAGGTCCGGGTGGCACTGAGGTGCTGTGTCAGCAGCCTAGGGAGCTCAGCCTGTAGGCTGAGACAGCAGAGGAGCCAGGCGCATAGTGCATCCCACCTCTTCTGACACCTTCTAAATGCACAGAGGAAGGCAGGCAGGCAGGCTGTCTGATGGAGCCAGGGAAAACAGGGACGGCCCTATTGTGTCTGACCAGTGCCCTCTACCAACTGGCACAGACCCCCTGAGCACCAGAACCCAGCCTGCACCACTGACACAGACCCCCTGAGCACCAGAACCCAGCCTACACCACTGACATAGACCCCTGAGCCCCAGCACTCAGCCTGCACCACTGATACAGACCCCTGAGCCCCAGCACTCAGCCTGCACCACTGACACAGACCCCCTGAGCACCAGAACCCAGCCTGCACCACTGACATAGACCCCTGAGCCCCAGCACTCAGCCTGCACCACTGACGTAGACCCCTGAGCCCCAGCACTCAGCCTGCACCACTGACACAGACCCCTGAGCACCAGCACTCAGCCTGCACCACTGACATAGACCCCTGAGCCCCAGCACTCAGCCTGCACCACTGACGTAGACCCCTGAGCCCCAGCACTCAGCCTGCACCACTGACACAGACCCCTGAGCACCAGCACTCAGCCTGCACCACTGACATAGACCCCTGAGCACCAGCACTCAGCCTGCACCACTGACATAGACCCCTGAGCCCCAGCACCCAGCCTGCACCACTGATACAGACCCCCTGAGCACCAGCACTCAGCCTGCACCACCGACATAGACCCGAGCCCCAGCACTCAGCCTGCACCACTGACACAGACCCCTGAGCCCCAGCACTCAGCCTGCACCACTGACGTAGACCCCTGAGCCCCAGCACTCAGCCTGCACCACTGACGTAGACCCCTGAGCCCCAGCGCTCAGCCTGCACCACTGATACAGACCCCCTGAGCACCAGCACTCAGCCTGCACCACTGACATAGACCCCTGAGCCCCAGCACTCAGCCTGCACCACTGATACAGACCCCTGAGCACCAGGACTCAGCCTGCACCACTGACATAGACCCCCTGAGCACCAGCACTCAGCCTGAACCACTGACATAGACCCCTGAGCCCCAGCACTCAGCCTGCACCACTGATACAGACCCCTGAGCACCAGCACTCAGCCTGCACCACTGACACAGACCCCCTGAGCACCAGCACTCAGCCTGCACCACTGACACAGACCCCCTGAGCACCAGCACTCAGCCTGCACCACTGACACAGACCCCCTGAGCACCAGCACTCAGCCTGCACCACTGATACAGACCCCCTGAGCACCAGCACTCAGCCTGCACCACTGACATAGACCCCTGAGCACCAGCACTCAGCCTGCACCACTGACATAGACCCCTGAGCACCAGCACTCAGCCTGCCCCCCTGATACAGACCCCCTGAGCACCAGCACTCAGCCTGCACCACTGACATAGACCCCTGAGCCCCAGCACTCAGCCTGCACCACTGACACAGACCCCTGAGCCCCAGCACTCAGCCTGCACCACTGACGTAGACCCCTGAGCCCCAGCACTCAGCCTGCACCACTGACACAGACCCCCTGAGCACCAGCACTCAGCCTGCACCACTGATACAGACCCCCTGAGCACCAGCACTCAGCCTGCACCACTGACGTAGACCCCTGAGCACCAGCACTCAGCCTGCACCACTGACATAGACCCCTGAGCACCAGCACTCAGCCTGCACCACTGACATAGACCCCTGAGCACCAGCACTCAGCCTGCACCACTGACATAGACCACCCTGAGCACCAGCGCGCCCTTTCCCTATATGCTTCTACTCTGAAGTACCATGCTACTGTGTCTATTACTTCTCCAGAACATTCTCCATGACCTCCAAAAGCCTCAAGTCCTACCTGTTCCCAGGAAACCACAGTCCTAGCACTGGTGTTCCAAGGTGCCTGCCTCTCCAAATCAAGGCTAACTACCACACTCCAACTTCACATCAGGTCCTCATCATGTCCCTGGAAGGGCAGGACAGCTTCCCTGGACTTCAGCTCCCACACAGCACACAGCACTGCATACTGGAGCTAGGCTAGCCACATGCCGCTCTCCCTGGCACACTGCACGGGACAGTAGCTCTGGGCAGGTGGGCTGCCACATGCCGCTCTCCCTGGCACACTGCACGGGACAGTAGCTCTGGGCAGGTGGGCTGCCACATGCCGCTCTCCCTGGCACACTGCACGGGACAGTAGAGCTGGGCAGGTGGGCTGCATGCCTCTGAAGGCAGCACTTTACTGGAATACAGCTGTGTCTATTTGCTTACATTTGGACTACAGCTGCTCTTGCAGTGGAGAAACAACCTATCATGTGGCCCTTACGCCAAGGTCTTCGGACTCTTCTTCCAGCCAGTGGGAACACCCTACTCCAGCCCCCTCACCCTTGCCTGAGAAGCCAAGGTGAGCTGCTCATACGAGCTTCTCACACATCCATCTGAATGACTCTCCGAGTCTGACAGGTGGCTCCTGGGGCTGGAAAAGGGATAAAAGCAATGGAGTGACAAGAGTCCCCGCCACACTGAATGGTCAGCATTCCTCAGCAACCCAGAAAACTCTATTCTATCTGGCATCCCCAGTCTCAGCCATGTGCAGAGGAACTTCTCCATCTTCAAGGGGGCCTTGTGTTGCTTACAGAGGTCACAGCCAGCCTCAGGAGCTACCGCCTTTCGGGGAGAGCTCGAGCTCTGTCACTGTATTTGTTTAAGGAGATTGCACGATCCTCAGAGGCCTCTAAAGGCCTTCCCTTGCCTGTTTATGTCGTGTTTATCAGAAGCCACACTGCATGGCTTCTGAAGGTGGAAGGCTCTGGAATGGACACTAGGGGGCTGCCTCCAGGCCGTAAGTGCTAACAAGGAGTTTGAGTAGTCTGCATCTTTTGCAAATGCCATCAGTGAAATGATGTATCCACAGCCAGCTTGGGAAAGCGTGACTCTTCAGGGCCTCTGCAGATACTATGATCAGGTTCCACTGGCCTCCAGCTCAACCAGGTCAGACATGAGCATGGGGCCAAACAGATGCTGCTCTCAGAAGGGAGGAGGAGGCAAGTAACACTCCAATCGTGCCGCTGGACAGCTCACGCGTGCTGTGGCCAGCAGGAGGTACCACACCCGGCATGTCTCTTCCTCAAGAGCAGCCCAAGGACAAGTGAGGCTGGAATTTTTTTTTTTTGGTCCAGTTGTGGGGCCTGAACTCTGGGCCTGGGCGCTGTCCCTCAGCTCTTCAGCTCAAGGCTAGCACTCTACCACTTGAGCCACAGCGCCACTTCTGGCTTTTTTGTTTTTGCTTATGTGGTGCTGAGGAATTGAACCCAGGGCCTCAGGCATGCAAGGCAAGCGCTCTACCACTGAGCCACCTTCCCAGCCCATGAGGCTGGAATTTTAAAGTCCACATGAAGCACCTTCCCAAGTGTCCTCATTGGGGGCAGCAGACAATGCCTGCCCAGAGGAAACGCTCAACCCAGGCCACCGCCCCCACCCCATCCGTGCCCCGCCCCGCACCGCACTCAGTTCAGCTCTCTGAACGTCCGGCAGCAGCCCAGCCCAGTGGCAAGCCACGCGTGCACTTACACCGGATCCCGTAGATGGTGAGCGGGTCGAGCTGCTTCTTCCCGTGCTTGCCCTGGCCCGACAGGTTGGACACAGCCTGCACCTCGCGGTGGAAGAGGTAGTCGAGCAGCGTCAGCGCCATCTTCTCGGCCGTGCGGCAGTTGGTGCTGATGTGCAGCATGTCGGAGGGGATGATGGCGCAGCGCACGCGCATCTCAGGGTTGTTCTCGTCGCCGAGCCACGTGCCGTTGGGGTAGTCCTCTAAAAGAGAGAAGGCTCCCTGGGTCAGAGGGGGCAGAGGCACGTTCCAAACAGACAGCGTGGGTGGCTCAAATACTCGCAGCAAAAGTGCGGGAGGGGCTTCAATATCAGCTCCCAGAGTCCACACGGAGGCCAGGAGCCCAGAGAAACCCTCTGCTGTGGGAAGTGGGAGCACTGAGCTCCGAAGAGCAGAAACAGCAGCCTACATTCCTGCGAACCCATCTTAGATACTGCAGGTGGCAGCTGACCTCACCCACACCGTTCTCCTACCTCTGGACCGCCTTCAACTCTGCCTCAGCAAACAACACCGCAAGCAAGCCTTGCACACATCTCAGCTACCCAGCGGGGCCCTGCTCACAGCTCAGGTGCAGTCACCAGCATCCAGGTGTGGCAAAAGCCTTGAGGGACCCTGGAGGGCTGCCCAGAACATACAGGCTCAAGCCAGCCCCGTCTGGAAGGAAGACATCAAGCAAGCTCTGGGCCGGACTCCAGAGTCTCTCTGCAGTCCCATAGGTCAAGAGCTCAGAGCAAAATTCACAGCTTCTAGTCACTGTCAGCTCTGCCCCTCATTTAGACAGGAGTGAGCAAGGCCAAGACTTTCCGTGCAGCCTTCTCACGGGTCTGATGGCCACACCAAGCACGCCTGTCTCTGGGACAGCTGAGTGTCCATCCACTGGCCCCCTCTGTGTAGAGAAGGCAGGCACAGGGAGCTCGACTCTGCCTGTGCGCGGCCGTCTACCGCGTCCCCGGGGATGCGCTAACTCTACAGCACTGCCTCGCCCTCAGAACAAGTGTGCCTTTCCCATGAGATCTCGGTCACTCCAATCCACCTCAGACCACCCAGCACATCTGTGGGAAACAACTCTGCCCCCTGCTCACAGCATGGCGACTCCATTCCTCTTCATTGCCACACCATTGCTCTAACACTGCAAATCACACCACTTTGACTCACTGCCTCATAGGTTGCCAGTAACAGAATGAGAGCCCTAAGCCTGGTCATCAGGACAGGACAGGCCTGGAATGCCCCCAGGTCTCTGGGGCCCGAGGGGCTTTCCCTGCAGGCCCTTTGACCACATGTGTATGCTATGCCTCCGGCAGACAGCCTCCCCTAGTTCCCGGAGCCGTAAAACATCTGGGTGAGTCCACAAGTCCTGTCCACACAGACACGATCTCTGCTGGAGGTAGGGGCCAGAACTGAGCAGCCAGCTATAGCTAACAGCTCTGATTTCTAGAATTTAGAATAAGTGATGAGTTAGAATATCATTGCTAAGGAACATCAATGGTTCACAGTGAAGAAGGCTCTCTGGACACATGCTCAGACACGGCCTTGAAAGTCAGTCAGCCACCATTACAATCATGTATTACCCAACCCTTGGAGGCTGAGACAAAAAGATCTCAAGTGTGAGACCTGTGTGAGCCCACAGTCAGACCCTGCCTCAACATAACAACACAACAGACTCCACCTAAAGACAACATGACTCCAGCAAGTCTAAGACGGGCTCACCCCAGAAAAGTCCAAGGGCATCTACAAATATTTCTGGAGCCAGGTGCCAGTGGATTACGCCTACAATCCTAGCTACTCAGGAGGCTGAGATCTGAAGATCGCCGTTCAAAGTCAGACTCTTATCTCCTATTAACCACCAGGAAACCAGAAATGGCATGGTGGCTCAAAGTGGTAGAGAACTAGCCTTGAAAGAAAAAGCTCAGGGAGGGGCTGGGACGGTGGCTCAGTGGTAGAGCGCTTGCTTTGCATGCATGAGGCCCTGGGTTCGATTCCTCAGCACCACATAAGAAGAAAAAGCCAGAAGTGGTGCTATGGATCAAATGGTAGAGCGATCACTTTGAGCTGAAGAGCTGAGGGACAGTGTCCAGGCCCAGAGTTCAGTCCCCACAACCGGCAAAAAAAAGAAAAAAGAAAAAAGAAAAAGCTCAGGGAGAGCACCCAGGCCTTGAGTTCAGGCCCCACGGCTGACAAATAAAAATACACTTATACCACACACACACACATTTATTCTGGAAAGTATGCACCTGGTATGGATGTACACTCAGACTCCAAAGCTGGTCAGGTGTAGATCTTCATGACACAGCTGCCTGTGGTGTCCAGTAAAGAGGCTGGAGCAGCATGGTCTAGCGGAACTCAGCAGAGCCTCTAGTCAAACAGAAGGTGGCATTTGGTGACACCAAGGACTGCTGAGCCTTTTAGTAAACAGTGGGGTACAAGGACCCGGGGTGGCCCACTGATCCCACAGACACTGGGTGTTGTGCCACCCCCACCAGGACACTGGAAGGTGCAAAGAATAGTGGGCAGGACCTCTCAGCTTTGCTCTCAAAACAGCCAAAGGTCCCTATAGCCTTTCCCAGGAAGAAGACTGCTAAATTCAGCCCAGCCACGCTCTCCATGTTTACTCTAAAGTAAACTCAGGACAAGAGCTTAGTTCTGCTGAGCACTCAACTTTCTATTTGTTTAAAATTCCCTATTAAGAGAAAAGGAAAAAGAAGAAAGTAAAGAGAACTAAGATTCCTGGCCTGAAGCTGGCACTGCCAGACCAGAGAGGAGCCTTTACAGCACCAACCACAAGTTCACATACAAGCCTTCAAGAGTTGCTTTCCTTTGGGTACTAACCTCCCCTGCAGACGCAGGGCACTGTGAATGTGGCCAGTCCTCACGGTTCCTGCTTTAGGTAGCAGCCTGTGAATACTGGGTGTGAGGTCCTCTGTCAATCAAGAAGGCTGAGGAGGGGAGCACCAGCCACAGCAAGTCTAACCCACAGAGGTGAGAGTCACTGCCACCTGGAGAAGGACATCCCTGCTGGACATAGAGAGGCTCAGGGCCTGCTGCCACCCTCGGAGTGGGGCAGGGAGGGCCCCATGTGATTGGGGACACCCTGGGAACTCTCAGCGTGGTATCCTCCTCAATGCTCAGACACAATGCCTCTGACCCTGGGGAGACAGACTCGTGTCACTTACTGGAGACACTGAATTGTGTCTCCCCACAGAAAACAAGACAGAAAATCTACTTACACAGATGTCTGAGAAATGCAATGTACCTCTTGATAATTCAGAAAGCTCTATTCGTTTTACTAAAATGTCTTGGTCCAATTTTGACATTTGAAACAATAGATTCTAGGAATTTATTTTTAGAGTACCAAAAAAAAATAAACCTGCTTTCTATTCCAGTCATTTAAATCTTCAAAAAGAAAAGTTGTCTGGAAGACCTATTAAAATGAAAACTTATCCGAGTGCCAGAGCTCATGCCTGTAGTCCTAGCTTACTCAGGAGGCTAAGATCTGATGATCACGGTTCACAGCCAGTCCAAGCAAACAAACCCAAGAGACTCAGCTTCCTAGCTGGATACTGAGTCACGTCCTTAAGTATAAATCTCGATGAAGTGGAAGTTTCTGCCTTGATTTTTATGGTGGTGTGGACCTGACATTCCAGCTCAGCTTGAGGGGGACGTTGTGTTATCAGGAATGGAATGGGACTGTCCAGAAATTTTCCAGCCCCACCACATGGATCAATCACAACTATAAATAACTCACGTCTTCCACCAAAGTGGACAAGATGAATTCCCTGTGCGACCCACTGAACACTTTCTTGTGCTTATTCACAACTACTGCCCCATAAAAAATATCATGGTCAGGGTACTACTCCCGGACCAGGCCATGCTTGGGTCAACATGTGCACTGGACCCTGCAGCTAGACTATAGATGCTCTGAGGAGATTTCATCTCCATAGCAGGTACCAATGGGCTCTGGTCACAAGAATACAAACTGAGCAAAGGTATAATTCAGCTCCTGTCCCGGGGCAAGGGCCACGGGGGGCCTCCGTCTTTTATTGGAGGCCATCAGTGAATCCAGGGACACGAGCTCAATTGCGATTAGGGCAAGTATTACAAACTAGCTGCCTCGTCCTGCAATGGAAAAGAGCCTGAGCTGCTGAGCAGACACAGTGCCCAGGGTGCCCATCCTGGGTAGCAATGCCCACTTCAGGCACAGTAAGACCTGAGACCTGCTGATAGCCTCATGCTGCTTTGTGTCCAATTCTACTCTTAGCATCCAATTTACAAGCACCACAAAAGTGTGCTTACGTACAAGCATCTACGTGGAACAATTCAGCAAGACAAGTTACGTGAACAAATGTCCAGTGAATATTTTTGGAAACTTTCTTTACTTGTATATGGTTAATAGTGAACACAGCAACTGTCATTCATCTGATTTCATGGCTTTCTGTTCCATCAACACCCTGCAGCTTCCACTGGTTTTCTAGAATGAGGTGGCTGATCTTTGCTCCAGCCCTCCTCTGCTCAGCACATGTGCACCACTGAGCTCAAGAGCATTCTAGATCAACCCTTGTCTGCAGTACAATCCTTCCCCATTACAAGTAAGTATGCAACATTTTATATGTAGTCAAGTTTTGTAGCAATTAGCAAATGCCCAAACAACTAGAATTTAAACTTTTAATTGTTACTCTAAATCCCTGTTAAGAGATACCATTCCTGCCACATTTTAGTTAATTTGTATCTTTAACTCAGTCAACTTAACCACTGAATGATTAGATCACCCACACTCTTGGTGCTCCACAAAGACAGGAATACATCAGGACCTAGTCACCAGCAAAGGACACCAGGACCACTACCACCAAATCTCCAGGACCTAGCCACCAAAAAAAACAAAAACAAAAACAAAAAACACCAGGACCCAGCTGCCAATTAAAAATACCAGAACTCACCACCAACAAAATACCAGGACCCAACAACAACAAGACGCCAGGACCCAGCCACTAACAAAAGGCAAGCACAAGAACCAGGCTTACAGTGCCCTGCCCAGCAACTGACTGTCATTTCTTTCTTACCCAAACTGAGTTTCATCACCAACAAATTACCTAAGTAAAACACTTTGGTACCTTTGTAATATCATCACTGCTCCTAACTTGACACAAAGGGAATTTGTAATTCTTTTTTTTTTTTTTTGTCGGTCGTGGGGCTTGAACTCTGGGCCTGGGCACTGTCCCTCAGCTCTTCAGCTCAAGGCGAG